CAGGGTCGGAAAGGCCGTCTCGGTGGACAGGTGAGAAAACCACGGCCACAGAGGACAAGTGACCTATGTGGGGACATTCAGTGCCGGGCAGTGCCACTACGGGACCACCAGATGCTCTGTCCAGTCTTAGTCGGTCATTCTAGAGAATGGACGAGAATACAGATGACACGGCATCTTCAAAGCCGCACGGGGCCCGCCACACGGCCAGTGCCCTCAGCACTTCCGGTCAGAGGCAAACTCGTGGGAAGCAGGGGGCACTGGCGGTTTTGGTTAAATCTGGGGCATGTTCTGTATGTAACATCGACCTGAAAGAGAGAACTGAGACAGGGTTGCACGAGGCTAAGGCAAACCTGAGTTTTTTTTATTAGTTTTGTTTTGTCTTATCCGGGCTTGCTGTCCCTCTCCACCCAGCGTATTGGCACACCTGTCACCTCCCACCTTAACATGCACGTGTGACACGGAAGCAAAGACCTCCCAGCCTCCAACAGGAAGAGAAGCTCAGTGACCACACGGTGTCGAAGTAGGGAAGAGGGAAGTCAGGTAAGAGCGGAGCCCGCCGAGTCCACCGCAGCGCGTGTGTGCGGGGAAGAACCCGCCGGACGGCATGAATGATGCGTGGCGTGGACCTCGCCCGCTTCCACACCGCACGGGTGAAAAGCATGCGGCCCAGATGAGCTTTGGGGGACGCGGAACTAGAGCCGACTCGGGTCTCCTGAGTCTGGGTTCTGCGTACACAAGATATGGCATCTTATCTCAGGATGCTTTGGGTGGCAAACGACAGGCCACCTGGCTCAAAACAGCTTAGACGGAAAGAGCGTCAGGATCTCAGGGGCCAGCGAGGAGCGAGGCCAGGCACAGGACATGATCAGTACTCGTATCTGCTTGTCCTGACTGTGGGGGGCACTCTGCCACCCTCGCCCTGTGCCACGGCCTTCATGTAAGCTAACTGTCAGCATCCTCCAGTGGTGATACTGCTCTTTGAAGAGAACGGGCATTCACAGATGGACGCGGCGTGGGATGT